CACGCGCACACGCGCACACGCGCACACGCGCACACGCGCACACGCGCACACGCGCACACGCGCACACGCGCACACGCGCACACGCGCACACGCGCACACGCGCACACGCGCACACGCGCACACGCGCACACGCCCACACGCGCACACACACGCGCACACGCGCACACGCGCACACGCGCACACGCGCGCACGCGCGCACGCGCGCACGCGCACACGCGCGCACGCGCACACGCGCACACGCGCACACGCGCACACGCGCACACGCGGCACACGCGCACACGCGGCACACGCGGCACACGCGGCACACGCGGCACACGCGGCACACGCGGCACACGCGGCACACGCGGCACACGCGGCACACGCGGCACACGCGGCACACGCGGCACACGCGGCACACGCGGCACATGCGGCACACGCGCACACGCGCACACGCGCACACGCGCACACGCGCACACGCGCACACGCGCACACGCGCACACGCGCACACGCGCACACGCGCACACGCGCACACGCGCACACGCGCCCACGCGCCCACGCGCCCACGCGCCCACGCGCCCACGCGCCCACACGCACACACGCACACACGCACACACGCACACACGCACACACGCACACACGCACACACGCACACACGCACGCGCACGCGCACGCCCGCACGCACGCACGCACACGCACGCACACGCACGCACACGCACGCACACGCACGCACACTCACGCACACACGCACGCACACGCACACGCACACGCACACGCACACGCACACGCACACGCACACGCACACGCACACGCACACGCACACGCACAAACACACTCACATACACACATACACACATACACACATACACATACACATACACATACACACACATACACATACAAATACACATACACATACACATACACATACACACACGTGCATATATCTGTTGCTTTCGGGCCCTTCACGGGCCCTCTGCGGGCCCCTGGACGATCAGAGAAAACGATTCAGGATGAAAAAGGCCCCCGGGGCCCTCCACGGGCCCGCGGGGACGGTCAGAAGACGACTCAGGATGATCGGGGGTGGACAGACCTCCTACCCTGACACGTCGATTGAGGAATTGGCTGTTTTCGGTTCGCGAGAGGGCGTCGCGGTCGGCAGTGTTGCGGGTCCAGGTCCGGCGGGTTCGGTCCCAGGCCGTTTTCACGGAGGGGAGGTTTGCTAAAGGGAGGTTTGTCCACCGCCCAGATGCAGCGGGGGGAAGGCCCAGGGGCCCAGGACCCGCTTCTGCCCCCTCCCGGAGGACGCTCAGCGGGGGGGCGAGGAGGGGGGGATGGTGGGGCAGCGAGGGCTGCAGCAAGGGGCCCCGTAGGGCCCCTTTGGAGGCGCCTTCTATGGGCCCGGCAGGGGCCTCTGTGGGGCCCCCCCAGAGAGTGCGCCTCTCTTCCCTTCCCCCCCCCCTGTGAGCGTCGCCCAGCCCTCGTGAGCGCCGCCCAGCCCTCGGGACCCGCTTCCCCCCCTGCTGAGCCGCGCCCGTGGCCCTTGGCCCCCCAGAGTGCACCTCTCTCCTTCCCCCCCCCCCGTGTGTCGGCCCCCCGTGAGCGTTGCCCCGCCCTCGGGACCCGCGAGGCCCTGCAGCGGTGCGGCTCCTCCGGGTCGCTGCGCCTGCGGAGGGGGGGGGGGGGCAGGAGGAGGGGGAGGAGTCGAGCAGGAGATCGCGGCAGAATTGATTTCTTCTACCCTAAGGTTGACTTGTCTTCGCCGAGTCCACGAGAACACGTAGACCGTTCGTACATCTCTCCGACTCGAAGGGGGAGGGGGGGGAGGTGGAGGTTCCACCCCCTCAGCGGCGATGTCCGCCTTGGGCGGGTTGGGCAGCATCCGACGTGTTCTCATGCCATCAGCAGCCAGCAATCAGGTGGAGGAGCAGGGGCAGGAGGAGGGGGAGGAGGAGGAGGAGGAGGATGGTGGAGGAGGAGGAGGTGAATGGTGATGATGATGACGATGATGATGATGATGATGATGATGACGACGACGACGACGACCACGATGATGATGCTGCTGATGATGATGAGGATGAGGATGAGGATGAGGATGAGGATGATGATGCTGATGCTGATGCTGATGCTGATGACGATGATGATGATGATGATGATGATGATGATGCTGATGCTGATGCTGATGCTGATGATGATGGTTCTTATTGATGCTGCTGCTGATGATGATGAGGATGATGCTGCTGATGATGGTGATGATGATGCTGCTGATGATGCTGATGATGATGGTGATGATGCTGCTGCTGATGATGATGTCGTTGTTGATGATGGTGATGATGATGATGCTGATGCTGATGCTGACGATGATGCTGATGATGATGCTGCTGCTGATCATGATGATGCTGATGATGATGATGATGATGATGATGATGATGATGATGATGATGATGCTGATGCTGCTGATGATGATGATGATGATGATGATGATGCTGATGCTGATGATGATGATGATGATGAGGAGGAGGAGGAGGAGGAGGAAAGGAACCGACGCCGCTACCTTTGACTCGTTTTCGCCTACTCGTCGTCGCCACGGCTGGCTTCGCCTTGAAATTAGGGTTAGAGAGCACCCTGGGAGAGGTCGGGGCGGTAGCGGTATCGGTATCTTTGGTTTTCCCTGGCGGCGCGTCTCTTCTGGTTCGCTGCGCCTGAGGAGGAGCGGGGGGGGGCAGGAGCCATGCCGACTCTCGTCGATTCGAGCCGATTTCGACTTCGAGGATCTCGATGCCGATCCGATCGGACTCCAGACTCCGTCATCTCGTTTCGGGCTTCTCTTTGTGCAGGCCTCGGCTCGGGCCGCGGGGCGTCGCGGGCAGGATCTATGTCCGTGGCCCCTGCGTCTCGGAGTCTCCAGTTCCCTTCTCCCGAGGCAAGAGGCGCAGTGGTCACGGATAAAAGTCCTGGCCCCTCGGGGCCCATTTTTGACAATTTGTTTACCCGTATCCACTGCGCCTTGGCTTTCTGGCGTCCCTTCCCTGGAAGCCCAAGGCGCAGTGGATATGGATATAAAGCTTGCCCGCAGAGGTCGGCCGATTCGACAAATTTCGATTGCCGATTCGATCTTGGGGCTCCGCGGGAGAGCTTGCCCAAAAAAGACGGCTGCCAAGTCTGCATTGGCGCGCACTGCGATACCTGTTCGCAACAGAGGCTTCTTGTCGTGTTCGCGTTCATTCAAGGACCTCCCAAAACAGGGCCATTTTCAGGCCTCTGGCGAGACATGTCGGTATGTGGGGCACCGAGAGTTCCGGGGCTGGAATTATCTAAGCCGAGGCCCGCGTCCGTCATGCGAGCTCCGAGGCCCCCAGGAAAACGTCCCAGCCCTTTCTCCGCGCAAGCGAGTGGCCGAGGCGAACAAAACATTTCCCCCCCCCCGAATTCCGAACTTTATCACCCCCCGAGGGATGCAAATATTCAGCCGCTGGCGATCGAGGGGCGCGATGCGCGAAGTTCCCGCGTCCCGCATCCCCCGAAGTGGACCCCCGCTGGAGCCAGTCAGACCCTGCCGATTCGAATTGGTTCGATTCAGCGGATTTCGATTTCGATTGGATTCGACTCCGCATTCCGACTGCGGTCTGCGTTTCTTCGGGCAGGCTTCGGATCGGGCCGCTGGGCGCCGAGTTCGAGACCGTCCGCTCTGCCTGCCGTGTTCTGCCGTTGCGGCGCATTTCGATTGCCGATTCGATTCTTCGATTCGGTCTTGGGTCATCCTGCCCCGAGAGGTTTCGCCCCCCTTCCCCGTGGCTTTTCGCATTCACTCCGAGGCTTGCTGGCGAGCCCCCAGGAACAGAGAATTGGTACACATTTTCCGTCGTGGCTTTTGTTCCAGACGCAAGGAGGTCGGCTTCCGAACATTTTGCCCCCTAGGCGGCCGTTCATGGACGACGCGGGCACCCCTGGAGCGCTCTCGGCGGGGCCCAGCTGCTCGCGAGCGTCCCGAGCCGAAGAGACCTACGAGAACCAGCGAGTCCTCCCGATTGCTTCCGCGGATGTCGGGTTCGGAGTGGCCTGCCCCCTTCACCGCCCCCGCTTCCGGGCAAGATCCGTCGGCGTCGAGTCGGCAGCGCACGGGGGTCGGGCCGCGTCGGCACGGGGCCGGAGTCGAATCCGATCGGCCGCGCCACGGTCATCATCAGCGCCACGCAAGCATCGGGGCCGCACGGGGTCGTCGGAGCATCGGGGTCCCATCGGATCGGGCCAGCCAGAGTTGACATCGGATCCGATCGATCGGATCGAAGTGTTTCAGAGGAAAACGGGGACAAAGACCGACGGCTTTTTTGGTTCATACTAAGAAGGGGCCGATGTTCGTGTCGCAGCGGGCGTCCACCTGAGACAGGAGGTTGCCTCCCTAACAGTGGCCGCTGCCGATGTTGGACAACCTGTGTTGGTGGGCGGCGTGTCCACTGCTTCCATACATTCCATCCCGATGGTAAGGATCGTTCGTCTCCCCAATTTACCAAAAGGCACCCTTGCACCCGTACATTTTCAGTCCGTCCCTGGCCACTTCCGATGGCCTGCCGCGTTCGCAAGAAGTTCCGACGCGGGCGTCCAAGGGAGGTTCCGTCTCCCCATCGCTCCTCTTGGCTACAGCCAAGTCGCTGAAACAAGGAGCAGTTTGGGTTCGGAAGGGGCCCGATGTTCCTCGGCTTCCTCCAGTGCTCTTCCTCTTGCCCTCCTGTCGGCAACACCCCAACATACTTATACTATATGTGCGTCGCCCCCCCAGGGGCGACGCGCGCACCGAGAAATCTTATAGTACATGCGTCGTGGCGGGCGCTTTCTGGCCACACCGCTCGGGAAACGATATACTACAAGATGGGTATACTATATGTTCGGGTCGGACGCGCGCCTCCAAGGAGGACATATAGTATTAGTATGTCCATGTGCGTCCCATCCTGGGGCACGGAGGCGCTCACAGGGCCAAGACGGGGCTTCGTTCCTTATTTATCGGGGGTGGACAGACCTCCTACCCTGACACGTCGAGTGAGGACTTGGCCGTCTTCGGTTCGCGAGAGGGCCTCGCGGCCGCCATTTCTGCGGGTCCAGGTCCGTCGGTTTTGGCCCTGGGCCGTTCTCACCAAGGGGAGGTCCACTCGAGGGAGATCTGTCCACCGCCGACTTTAGCGTGCCTTCTCTCGGCAGCCCAGGGAGGCGCTTACAGGGCGCCAAGAAGGGGCTGCGTTCCTCATTTAGCGCTCCTCCTCTCAGCAGCCCGCCCGTTGCGCATCTGGAGGAGGAGGAGGAGGAGGAGGAGGAGGAGGAGGAGGAGGAGGAGGAGGAGGAGGAGGAGGAGGGAGGAGGAGGAGGAGGAGGAGGAGGGAGGAGGGAGGAGGAGGAGGAGGGAGGAGGAGGGAGGAGGAGGAGGAGGAGGAGGAGGGCCGTGCCCACCTCGGGCGCCCATGCCCGGGCTCGGAGCCGGCGGGCCGCGGGGGGCAGGCTCAGCTCGGCCTCCACGGGCGACCCGCAGAGCGTGGCGCAGACCGCGGAGGCGCCGCCGCGCCCCCGGCGCGGAGGGCGCGCGGTTTTCGTCGCCGCCTGCCGCGCGCCCCGCGCGAGGGGCGCGCTCCAGAGGCCCGGGGCCCTGGGGCCGTGGGCGCTGCTTGACAACTCAGGGGGGAAAACGCACACAGACGCAATGAGTCGTCGATCCCCAGGGAAACGTGGGAAAACGTGGGAAGGGGGGGGGGGGGGGCAGACGCAAGCCCAGAAACTGTGGGAAACGATAGGGGGATCCTGCTATTTGTGTGTGTGTATATATATGTGTGTATATATATATATATATGTATTTGCGTGTCCCAGGGCCCCTTTACATTCCCCCGGCGGGGGCGAGAGCGGTTCGGGGGCAAGAGCACGCGGCCAGCCGGGCTCGGGGCCTCTGCCCGCCGCCGCACAGGTGCGGTGCCTCCTCCTCCCTCCTCCTCCCTCCTCCTCCCTCCTCCTCCCTCCTCCCTCCTCCTCCTCCTCCCTCCTCCTCCTCCCCTCCTCCTCCTCCTCCTCCTCCTCCTCCTCCTCCTCCTCCTCCTCCTCCTCCTCCCTCCGTAGCCATTTTGGCTCAAGATGATGGTGCTTGCGGCGTCCTTCATGGATACCGCTAGTCCGCGGGTAGTCCCCAAACTTTTGCCGCCACAGCCACGGGCGTGCGGCAGCCCACAGCTCATCCTGCTTCTCACCTTGGCATTGCAGGCTGCCATACATATCGGCTCGACCGAGCCCTTCATATCGCTCGTCGAGCCCAGCTCCGAGCACTTCATATCGCCCGTCGAGCCCTGCTCCGAGCACTTCATATCGCCCGTCGAGCCCAGCTCCGAGCACCTCATATCCGACGCCGAGCTGTGCTCCGCGTCCCAGGCCTCCGCCGCCGAGCCCAACTCCGAGCACGCCATCCTCGCCGTGAACGTTGCCCGTCCCGAGTTCTGCCGCCAGCATCTCCGCCAACCACGTATTGGCACCGCAGCCGCCCTGGACATTGGACAGCTGTACAACAGTCGCTCATTGGACCTGCCCTACCATCCGCTACAATGTCGTCAAGCAGTGATGAGAGATCGACGTCCCGCAGCGCTCCGACACGCAGAAGGAAAGAACGTCGCCGTGGACGCCAAGACAAAGATCGAGATGACAAATGTTCCCGTGCCTCTGCTGCCAAGGTTACACTCGACGTCATGGGAGAAGCTGGCGTCGCATCGCAGCTCGTACGTGCGTCAGGGAGAGCCTCGGCGCCACCTTCACGTCCTGGTCGCTCGTCTGCGCGCCCGTCTACTCCGCCAACGTTTGCGATGGATGCCGACGACCTTCTACACCGCGGTGATGTCGCTTGCCACGCAGCGGCTGCCCCCGCTCAAGCTCGCGATGGACAAGGGCATGCTCCGCCCTCCCAACCTCTTGCAGTCGAGGCTGCTCCAGCCGCTGGAGGACACCTACATGCAGACCCACTGGCAGGAGATCGCGACCCATGGCGTGGCCAACACACCGCTGGACGCTCGTCCGCCGTCGGAACCGCCGCCGTCCCTCATGGTTGGGACATACCAGCCTCAGTCGAAGCTGCTGGAGGTACTGCCACGCCTGGGTCGATCCCAAGCATCCCAGGCTTGCCTCCTGATGTCGAAGCTGCTCTTCAACAAGCCATGCAGACACAAGTCGAACACGCTGCCGCCACCTTCCAAGCCCAGGCCAACGCTCTTCTCAATGAATCACGTGAAAGCTTTCGCCAAATTCTCGCACAACAAGTCATTGCTACCGAACGCCGAGTGGATGTTCTACATGATGCCGTCGCACGCACCCGCCGTGAACAAGACCGTCAAGCCGACGAGCAGAAAAAAGATGTGGCAGCAGATCGACCAGATGCGTGACGCGCTCGCGCTCGCTGAAGCTCAGGCGCCCATCACGGACCTCACCAAGCTTGCGGACTGGGACCGAGCCCCCGACCCGACCATCTTCCCCATCGGCTGCCAGCGCCTCATCGCGCCCGACATTCTGCTCAACGACCTGCAGGAGTGGGTCGCCTCCGCCAACGTTGACCGCAACGCCGTGGAGTTGCTGGGGGACGAGCCGTCCAGACGCTTCCTTCTTCAAGTCAAGGGAGATCGTGCAGCCGCAATCCCGCGAGCTCTCGCTCTTTCACGTGCCCTACGAGATCCCGCTGGCAGGTGGAAGCGCTTTGTTTCCACCGACACGACAGGTGCCCGAGTGGATATCTACCTCAATCCCGACAAGTCCCCCAAGCAGATCCGCGCCGAGATCCAGTGCAAGAAGCTCCTGCAACTGCTCCAGCATCGTTACCCCGACAAGCCATGGAGAGCCATCCGCACCAAGGGCGAGATCCATTGCAACGCCATGCCTGTTGTGCGCCTCGACGTCAAGGGCCAGGCCGACCCCGCCATCCTCGAGTGGAACGAGCACGCGTTCGAAGGCCATCACTTCAACGAAGTGGATCGCGGCGGCGTCCCCACTGCGTTCCAGGCGCTCTTCGCGGACACTGCGTCAGCAACGTGGCGGGTTTAACCATCCCTGGTCGCCTTGGCGACCGAACGAGGACCCCGCCCCCAGCACCTTCATTACTTGGAATGCCAGAGCCCTCATGTGTCACAAGCGCCAGCGCCGCCAACGCAAACAGGCGTCCCTGCTGAAGTACATGCGCCGCCAATGCGTCATCCTCATCCATGAGGTTCATGGCTCTGAGGCCCTGCTCCGCGCGTGGGTGGACACGCAGCCGTACCCGCGCAAGCTCTTCTTCTCCGAGTTCGTCGGCGACGATGACGCCGAGGCCCGCCCTGGCACTGGCGGCGTTGCTGCGCTAGTGCCCTGGCTCACACCAATGCAGCTCGAGCAGCTTGCTCCGCACCAACTGCCTACCTTCGTCCACGAGGAGATCGTCAAGGGCCGCATCCAGACTGTCTCCATCACCAATGCCGTCACGAACAACTCCATCGTCATCATGAATGTCCATAACCATGAGATCGACGCTCGCGGCCGCGCCCGAGTGCAACGTGCTTGGCATCAGCATCGCACCTGGGCCGATGTCGACTACCAGCACCGCACCTTCATCGCCATGGGTGACTTCAACACTGCCAGCCGCCCACCGAACAGCTTCCTGCAGCCCCAGCCTCAGCACGCGCGCCTTGCGCTGGACAGCAGCGCCCGTCAGCAGCAGCCTTTCTGGCAAGCACTCTTCGATTCCATGCTCGAAATTGAATCCGACTTACCGACCCGCTTCAACAAGTCCGACTTCTCCGCCTCAGCGATCGGCCGCGTTTTCATCAGCTTGCCGCCCCATGCCATGCTCGAGCTCACATCGCAGATCAACATTGTACGCGACCCTGCCATCCTGTCCGACTCCTTTCTCAGCGACCATGCGATCATCTCCTACACCATCGGCATCAAGCCGCGCACGCCGACGAACGATCAGGCTATCCCCCCCGCGATCTTCCGCGACCCGAGCTACGCCAAGTACCTGGACCAACTGATCACCCACGCCAAGACCCAGCACGTTCCCATCCAGAACCGCTGGCGCACGCACAAGCGCCTCATGGTCGAAGCCGCGAGGCTCGTCCGCGACGACTGGGCCAGCTCCATCGGGGACGGCAACAAATCCAACCATGCCGACGGACGGGTCCTCACGGCGCGCTCGATCTCGCGCTCGGTCTGGCGCCAGGATGTTGCTCTCGCTCGCCGCCTACAGTCCACCACCGACCTCGGCGCCAAGTACCTCTCGATCACCGACGGCCTCATCGCGATCATCAACCAGCCCGAGTTCGCTGACATGTCAGCCTCGCTCCACCGCGACTTCGAGGCTCGGCAACGCTCTCTGGCGCAAAGAGCGGCCCAGCGCCCCCCTGGTGCGGCAGGGGCCCTCGAGCCCGAGAAACTCCGCCGAATCCTGCGCGCCTCGCAGAGGCGGGCTCTCCTGTGGGCCCGTCGTCTGGTCCTCCAGGGCATCGAAATCTCGGGCCCAGATGGCCCCCCCTGGGGTCGCCAGAGAGAGCTGCGATATGGCTGACGCCCTTCGCACCTACTGGAAGCCCGTCTTCGCACACAAGCTCGTCGACCCCGTCAAGGTCAAGCAGTACATCGCCGAGCACATGCCGCTGGGGGCCACCGTCGACGTGGGCGCGCCGACCAAGACGCAGATCCGCGCCTTCCTGGCTCGCACCTCTCCGTCGGCCCCTGGTCCTGATTGCCTTCCTTATCGCGCCTGGCTCGCGCGCGACTCGTCGCTGGACCTGCTCGAGGACCTCTCGTTCCACCTCTGCTCGAACGCCAATTTCATCCACGACCTGAACGACTCTGACTTCGCCTTCCTGCCGAAAGGGGACAACCTCGTCGGCGAGTTGCAAACCGACAGGGCGCCCGAGGACACGCGCCCGCTCTCGCTCAAGAACACTGATATCAAGGCCATCGCTGGCGCCGCCAACTTTCTCCTCAAACCCGCTGTGGCAGAGCGGACTCACAAGGCACAACAGGGTTTCGTAGTCGGCCGCAACTTCACCAATCACATTGTCATTCTTGACGCCGAGATGCGTCGCGCTGGGATACGTCCAGATGCTGCTGATCACCATCCTGTCTTCACCGGCTCCGACTTCGCGGCGGCGTTCCCGTCTTTGGGTCGGGTCTGGCTCTTCGCGGCTCTCGAGCGCTTCGGGGTTCCCATCGGCCTCATGAGCCTCTTCCGCAACATGTACCACGCTCCGAACAGCTTCCTCAAGGTCGACGGGATCCGCCACTTCATGTTCGCCATCGAGTCGGGCGTCGCTCAGGGCTGCCCCGCCAGTGGCTCTGCTTGGGCCATCGCGATGGACCCGCTCGTCCGCCACCTCGCCTCCTTCATCGAGCACCCCGACGGCACGCCCGACTTCGACAAAGGCTACCTCGGGGTCTGTGCGGACGACACCGGCCTGCTCACATTCTCGTTCGACACGCTGCGCAAGGCATCTGAGCCTTTTTCCGCCGCCGAGGAGCTCGCCCTTCTCGCCCTCAAACCACGCAAGTGTGTAA